AATATTTATAATAGAGAAATAAATTACTAAAATTTTGTATAAATGATTTAGGTAAGAGTATCCGTAGGGGGATCTTATTTCTTTTGTCTTTCCATATCCAAAACTAATTTTTTTGGAAAGTGATTGAGATATAATTTTTTATTCTCTGTATTTAATTTTAGTTGATATAATTTCCAATTTGAGATAGTTAAATTTAGTTATTCATTTTTTTTAAGATATCATTTAATGTACTTATTTTTCTTTTACTTTTATTTTAAAAAGATAATTATAATATATACTTCCTTGTATTTATTTTTAGTAGTTTTAATTTAATTTTTTAATTTTTTAACATAAAATTTAAATAAAAATTTGACAATTTCGATAAATAACAATTGAAAATACTTAAATAAAAACTAAAATATCACTTTTAGCATCTTTTTATTGTAATATTAATATAAAAAATAAATAAATAACTTCATAAAGAAGAAAATTTATAAATATTTAGGGATAAAATTTCTTCAAACCAAATAGACTTTAAAGGTAATGTTTGAGAAAAGACTAAAAAAACACAAATGTTGTTAATGAATTAACCCAAAGAGTTGGATATATGGAAAAATAAATATTATTTTATAAGTTAAGTCTATAGTTTAAGTTTTGAAATTAGTATTAAAAAATTAATTTTTTTGAGAGGGTGGACTTTAAAATCTCTCCAAAAGAGAGTAAAATCAAAATATATGAAAATTAATTTAAAAATACTGTAAGAGTAAATTAAAACAATGCCATTAGTAAATGAACACCTAAGATGACTTACTAAAAATATTTTAGATGACTTATTAAAAATATTCTAAATATCATTATTAAAAATATTTTAAATGTCGTTAATGAGTCAACATATTAAAGTTATTTAATAATAAAAAATGATTTATAGATAATTTTTTAATGAAAAATGATTTAAAGATAGTTTTTTTGTATTATTTTTTTGATATAATTTTACATGTTATTCAAGTAATTAACTCTTTTTATTTATTTAGAATATGTGATATTAAGTGTATTTATTTATTTAATAATATGTGAAATTTCGTTAATGAGTCAACATATTAAAGTTATTTAATAATAAAAAAT